ACGTCAATATGACATTCTTGCTTTATGAACTGTACTGATTACCACTATGTTTCTGGGTGCAACTGAAGGTGCTGATCATCTCACACAAAGCTACATGGCATTAGGCCAAGTATTTGAGGGACCACCTATCTCTCATGCCCTGCTGGTATGTGCTGGCAGAGTTGGTATGTTCAGGGTTCCTTTATCAAATAGGAGCATGCATCAAGAGTCAGGTAGCACCCGCCTTTTGACATAAGATTCTCCCTGAAATCCACATGGCTGCCATCCTGATGTTTCTCTGTACGGTTTTGAAGATCTGGTTATTCTTCCAGCCTTTGGATTGAGAAGTATGGGACACCTTGTTGGATATGTTTTGTCTGTGATTTTGTATAAAGCAGTCAGATCCTAATGTGTTTCATTTTCTATTGTGTCTTTAAGGTTCATTATATGGCCAGTTACACAGAGTCCGTGCAGCAGTGTCCAAATTGAATTAAATAAATAAGTCTGGCAGCAGGATTAAGTGTCTGGATTTGCACTGAAAGCTACAGCATGCACCCTATCAAATTAAGTCTCTCAGGTATACCAGTTACATTAAAGTTGATGGAGCAGTATTTCTAGCAATTTTTAATGCTGAACTATAACTTCAACTTGGATATTAAGGAGCTAGATCTGAAGCACAGGAAAGTGGGAGTAAATCAGGTCTCTCTCTCTCTCTCTCTCCCTCCCTCCCTCCCTCTCTCTCTCTCCTGCGATGCAGAAAAAAGGGATTGATTTACACCTTGCTAAATTTATATAGGCTTGTAGGACAAGAACTTCCAAAGCACTCAAATATCCACATTCCTCTATGTATTTCCCAGTTATTTCCCTATTTTGCAGTGCACAGCACACAGCCAAGGAGAGAGCCATTGTTCCCAGGGAATCCTAGGTATACCTTCAAATAGCCTTGTAAAATTTCAAAGATTACACTTCCATGCTTGTCTGAAAAGTGTACTGATTCAAGTTCTATTGATTAATAGAAAGTATTGCACAAAATACTTTAAGTCATTTCTGAGCTGAAGACAACTGAATATTGTGACACACATACACCCACACATCTGCCTTGTACATTTCATTACTTTATGAAGATAGTATTTTCAAAGGAAAAGTGCCTACAAATGCAAAGAATAGAATCTTTTTGCTGTGGGGAAGGCAAGTCCAGCTGTCCTCCCCTCTTCTTTCTAATAAAATATCCTCCTATATTTACCACAGTTGGCTCTAAGGAACTCTTGCTTTAAATACTTCAGACTTTATTAAGTATGCTGTTCTCAGTGATTTCAATGACATTGACACTGGGACTGTACTACTCCTGTACCACAGCTTTAAGCATTTTTATTTGCAAGCAAGTCATGGAAAAGCCCAAGAACTTAGAATCAAGAGAACAACTTGGTTGCTCTTGGTTCCAAGTTCTCCCAGTTACAGATGATTTGTGAATATGCAAGTTGCATATTCCTTCTCCATGGTGTGAAGAAGCTTAAGTCTAACTCTGATCTATGTCACACAACATTTCCCACTTCCTTCGTATCTGAACTCCAGCCATTGACACCCTTCTCTGCCTTTTAACAATCTGAGCTTAATCTTTATGAATGTTGTTGCAAGCATTTAATCATGTACTCCAAAACATTTCTAACAACTTTAATATTGTCTTTATTCTTCCAGACATCATGACCCAATTGTGCATATATTCTTTTGAATTACCTTTGTTAGTTTTGATAAACGCGTTAGGGTTGTAGGAATCATTTTTAATCAGCATTCCAAAAATGACTTCTCACTTGCTTTCCAAAGGGTGCCTCATTAATGTTAAGAACTTGAATAGCACCCAGGAGGAAGTTGTCAATTAAATTCTCTTATAATACTCTAAATCTCTCACATAAATAATTCATTATCATAGTGGGTAGTTGAAAGATTTCACTTCTAAGAACTTTTTCAAAGTGTGAGAACCCCAGAAGTCCATTCTCCCCACCCCAATATTTAACAACTTACTGTAGTAGAATGCAACCTTGGTGTGATAAGAGAGGAAAATAATATATGCTGCTTCTAGAAATAATCACATTTTATCTTTGCAAATTTTAAAATTAGCGATAAGCATTCCAGCGCTGGAAATTAATTCACAGCTTTCAAAGTACTGAATGCTGCTGCTGATTTATGTTGATGCAATTTATCTACATGTGCTCTTTGCTAAATTATTGTTTGGTGTATTGTTCTATCACAGATGTTTGCATTAGATTCTTAGTTAAATCACATTCACTGCTCCTTCTACCAATGTAAAGCAGAAGGTTGGAAAAATTACCTTTTGTTACTGTCTATGAAAATCACACATGATTTTACACCCATGCCTTTTGGGTTATACTTTAGTATCTTTGTCTACCAATATATTTCCATTGTCCTGCTCCAAATGAAGCCGAAATGAACTTGGCTTCCGATTACTGGGTGGTAGAGAGGGAGGGGTGAGCGAAGTTTGGTAGTCTTGGAACAGTGGCAACCTACCAAATTAGAAGATGTGGAAACAGGAAAGTCAGGGAGCAAAACAGGGAAAGTGAGGCTTTAATTACAGGAAACAGCCAGGAAGTTTTAAAGTACTTAACATACCCGGAGGGCAATATACTGCCAAACCTTCACACATCTCTAGGATCTAGGGATGGTTTCAGATGTATTTTTGGGGAGGATTTCTTTTTCAAGGGCTACTTAAGAAATATTCATAAAGAACAGTTTAAGAAAAGTAGGGTTCGTTTCCTGCATTTATCAGTTGCATAGTGCAAACAGATGGCACCAGTGTTGCTGTTGTTTGGGAAAAAATAAACTTACACTGCTGCATAATAGTTAAAAGGCTTATCTGATGGAAAGATTATGCAAATGTAGATTGGGGAAATAGCTGGGGCAGGAGAAAAGTCAAAAGTCTGAAATAGCTTTCTGGGAGAAGCTTTTCTTTCACAAGTGTTTTAATATTTAACAAATTTGCTGTGTTATATTTTATATTGTTTTATTGGTACTTCTATCTAGTAAATACCATTTGATGGGAGTAAAAAAATGGAAGAGTTGTGCCAAAAGTTTATTATTTAAGGTTTTCACTGAGAGAACCATTGAGTCAAAACTTCTGATTATTTTAATCATTGGAACATCATCCTGGGAGATTTGCATACATATTTTGATTATACAGTTTGAATTAATATTCTGCAATAAATCTGTCCATCTTGGGTAAGATATCCAAGACTCAGTATAAAGATGAAGATATTACATAATCCAACAACAAAAATAAAAACAACTCCATGATACAGCCCTCCAACAGCAGCAATTAATTATAGCTGGAAAGGCAGTAATTCAGTTGAACCAAAACAGCAGCTTGCTATTTACAAATTTTAGATGGATTTTAATTTGGCTAAGAAGTGTAAGGAATGATACAGACAATTATACTCAAATATAGCCATTTAACTATATAAAATGACATTTTCCCTTTATTGGAAAATTGGGGTAGTAGCATTAAGTGGCCCAAAAGGGAAAAAGGCATTTAAATAGAATACTCAACTGAACATTAGCAACAAAGGGACGATAGTAGGTGGACAATAGTGGAGTAGATTATAAGTAATAAATAATGGAACACAGTCTCAGTAACAGCAGTTAAGATTTTTAAGTTAAAATATGTAATCTCTAATACTTTCCATTTTTTTAAACATAGAATTAACAAATATGTAATACTTTTCTAGGCTGTATTGCAGGCATTGGGAATGAGGCCTCTTAGCCAAATGAATAATTGTTCATTACATAATTTTAAATTGATTTATTTTGTTAAAAAAGAAAAAAATAATTTCTTTATTGTGTTCTTTATAATGTAGAAACAACAGAAGAATGTGAAGGGGAAAATAATTCCCAGAGAGTAGATATTTCTTCCACCCCGGTCATCAGACTTCATTCCCATCAACTAATCAAGAAAGCTTAGCTGGTTCCTTTGTAGCTGGGAGTTGATCTATTTATCTATAAAGTTGACAGACGAACAAATTATGGTGGCAAGAGGAATTTAGATAATGACGTGGAACATACTTATTAATACAAGTTCCAATACATTGCAATACAAACTCCAATATTGCCATAGTTAGATCTGTATGTGATGGGGATTATTGTATGCATGTCATCACATTGAAGAAGACTGGAATATGCCAGCATCAGAATTTTGTAGTTTGCTGGGAAGTTGGACTAAAGTTAATTTAGACTCTTGAAACAGTAGCCAGGCAGGGAGAGGCAATAAATTGCAGAAGGATATGTGCCAAAGAAGTTTAATCCATGATCCAAACCAGTAATGGTTTTCTCTTACCTTCACTACCGGTTTGGAACCAGGAGAGCATGTGTGCGTGCTTGCTTCGCTCGCTTACGGTGCTTCTGTGCATGCGCAGAACCTTCTGTGCATGCGCAGAACCTTCTGTGCATGCGCAGAGCGTCCGTGATGACATCTGGGTGGAGCCTCCCGCCGCTGCTACCGGTTTGCCCGAACCGGGGCAAACTGGCAGAATACCACCTCTGATCCAAACCCCTCTTCCTATGTTTATCAATCATAGAAAGGAAAAGTGGAGAGTTTGTAAACTGTAAAGTTCTTTTCAGATCAAATCAGCTTTTAAAAATCCAAGAATAGGGATAGGAACAAAGAGCTGGCCCCAATCCAACCTCCTACATGCTGTAGCTACCCAGCAGACCCGAGAACAAGAGCAGATAATCTGGATGGTACTTTTGACCAGTTTACTGAGTACTAACAACTCTGTCCAAAAACTATCAATATCTGTGAAAAAGACCACATGGTACTTATGAGACATGAATTCAAGCCAATCTGGTAAGTTTTTCATCATCTCTCGCAAAGATGTGGAGAAGGCAATAACATCTGAGCTAAAAGAATATCAGAGAGAGGATCTTTAACATATGGATATGCTGGCATGTTTAAGAGCAGAGAGTCAATGAAGCACATTCAGTCCTCTTCATTCATGAAAATGTGAATTAGAGTATCAGCTTGTACAAATGGAATTTATTTGAAATATGTTTACTGGAAAATACAGCACTGGTACTCTGTGAGACTTGAGCAATACCATCAGAACAATAGAACAAGTAAACAAATGAATCTGTTCACAATTCGTAAGAAGAATGTGTATCAAAAAGTCATATTTAGAGAATTGCAATGAAAGAGTGGCATGAGAAGGACACAGTACATATGCAGTCATAAATAATGTTGATCAAAGTATTCATAGCATGTTTTCACAGGACCAAATAGTTAGTATTTTTCATGGTTGAAGGAATTTTTGCCAGCGTAGTTTGTCCAATATTTGCTTATTTGCTTGGGTTCCTAAAAAATATTTAAAAGATTTTAGTACATCAACAGATATTTCCTCTATTTAAATAACTTAACAGCAAATACATCAGAATATACATAAATAGTATTGCCAGCAATTTAACAAGGCAGTTATCCAATAAAAAAAAATCAAGATTAATATGATGAACCCCTATTCTTGATATATCCATGCAGACCTCTGGTGATTGCTGCCTTGTTTTCTTTTTTTTAATATAAATATTTTTATTGCACTTTTCCCCCATACATGTCTCTTATCACATGATTAATGGATCTGTGACATCCATAAAACTGGAATAAATATTCAACAAATTGTACACATTCTATTTCCAAACTTTCTGACCCTATGCATGCAGGCTTGTTTGCAAGGTGCTTGCCGATCAATCCTTTTGTGAAGGATTTAGAATCGTTCCGGATATCAATATCAGACTGATTGGGTTTTTATAGTTTTATTTAATTGTTTAAAAAACATTCATTATGGCTGCTTTGTTTATTCCTTTGTGCTCTAGAGTAGTAATTTTTACCTTTTTTATTTCTAATCCCTCACTCTTAATTCACCACAGTTCTTGAACTCATTTTCTGCCTTTCTATAAGGTTGTATTCTTTTATTATTATTATTCACCACAACAGAATTGTATCACAGCGGCCAGTTGTTTCGCCGAATTTGGCATTGATTACTAGTCGGGCCCACCCACAGGCCTAGGACGTCGTAACGTATTTTCGTAATATCCGTGCAGATCCAAGCAGTGCGGCTTTTTGCATTTGACTGATGGTGATTTTGTCAATTTTTA